AAAAGGCAGAGAAGGTCAGTCATAGAAAAATGGAGGCAGAGTGGACATAAAGAGTCTGTGTGTCACAGAGGCAGGCAGCTGATGAACGGCACACTCACTTATGTTCATCCAGTGGATGCTGGGAGGAGGCGAGCTTTTTGGACGGTTGCAGGACAGGACCATACTCTGTCCCACGAGTCCTTGCTTACGCTCGACTTGTTGTTTCATGAGAACTGGCTGAGCTGAAACACAAAGCAGCAGAATACCAGTTAATGGGGTTTGGGGGAAGGCTGCTAGTGAGTCATGAGCGAGTGAAGCTGTTATGTGCTGGACTGTCTCAGGGGCGTGCATCCAGATCAGACTGGATTTATACCCCAGAGAAATTCATTTTTAAATCTCAGGTGACTATTTAATAATATTTACTCCACTGCCAGACCTAATGAAGAGTTAGCAGTTTTGGCACCTGACACCGAGAAGGCAGATTGAATGGCCCTATTTGTTCAAAATATTGGAAAGATTTAAATACGTAAAGATCCAAACTATTGTTGTCACAACTACTAATAAAAATGACACTCTACGCGCATGATGTGCTATTATATATCACCCAGCCATGAAAGACTATTCCTGCCATATTAGACAAAAGTAAGTTATTTGGGTCTTTCTCTGGATAAATCTGAATAAAGGTGAACTAATGCCTCTGCGTGTGAGTAACCCATCGTGGCTACAAAACCTCCCATTCAGTATAGCTTATGAGAAGCTCATATCTGGGTATTCAGGTTACATAATGCTATTCCTCTTTATGAAAATCGAACTTCTCTCCTATTATCCGAGCTTCAGTGAAGTATCTGTGAGAAATGCTCCGTAGCTGAAGATACGTTAAGCCACAGTTTTGTTTTTTGTCCCAAAGTTAAAGAATATTGGGCCGACATCTTCGATTCCGTGCCTTTCTTCGTGTGCAGTGGAACTCTGATCCACTAACAATTATTCTGGGCATCTTTGATGATACTGTGATAGCAGACAGTGCAAAGCGATGTTTTATATCTGATTGTATTATTATTGCAAAGAAACTTATCCTCACTCACTGGAAGGAGAGAGATGCACGCCCTTAAAGTCAGAGCTTTAAGAGGGGGGAGATTTTAGCGAGTCCCATGGCACGCTGACCGCAGCCATGGGAAACAGAGTACACACCGTCGACTTCATCCTCCACACCCACCGTACATCCTCCCTGCTGAGTGACGTCACGGCGCTATCACCAGGAAATGGTTGCCGTGGCAACTTGAGATGAGCGAGCAGAACAGGTGGCCCCGATCAACCTCACTGACTCACTGATGTGTGTGTGTGATTTTATATGATCGTGTGACATC